GGGGAGCCGGTCCCTTCCGCGGGCTCGGCCCCGCTCCCCAGCACGCCTGGCTCCGGGGACGGCCCCCGCACGATGCCCACCCTCGGTCACATTCCCGCTCGTACTCCTGGAAGGAGCCCAGTTCCCAGCTCGCAGGCGCACCCGGCTGCCTTCCCCAGGAGGGAAGTCGTTAGAAGCATCGCCAGCCTTTCCGGAGCTGCCAGCTAACGAACTCGATGGCTTCTAATTACTGCAGCACAGCAGAGCGATCCCTCCACCCCAGCCTGGCAGGGAACCACCCGGCCACGTTGCTCTGCTGTATTTAAGACCTGTGCATGGGACTTCTGGCGAGGCTCCCCATCCCTCTCCCGACACGGACAGATGACAACAGCCAGAGATCGGTTCTCCTGCCCCCTGATGTGACACCACTGTCCCCAGAGCTGCGGGGCACCCCATCCCCAGCACAGATCTGGCTGCGACGACGTCTCCAAGCTGCCTGCTATTGCGAGGAGCAGGGCTAACAGCATCTGGTGTCCTGCAGGATTCCCCCTCCAGTCCATTGACGCTGGTGTCTGCCACATACGAGCGCTCACCAGGCACAACCAGCACCGAGATGTTCCCAAGTCCCCAGAGGAATCCAGATGCTTGATTGCCAGTTGCAGCAGCCTCACAATTAAAATGGCTGGAGACAGCCCCCTAAAAACAAGCTCTTTAGGGGGAAAAATAATAATCGAGGAATCTCAGCAAAGCAGGAAGAAAAGATGTCTCGTAGGAAGCTCCTCTAGAGGCCGCAGCACGTCGAGGACAGCCACACCGAGGCCCCAGAGAGGTGCCACCTCCTGCCTGGAAGGAGGAAGATAGGAGACACAGTGGGAGAAGAGACGTGGCTGGGCTGAAACACTTCTGCCAAGTGACAGGTCTTCTTCGCCCCGAGGACACTGCGGTTTGCGTGCTCCTGGCGCCAGCTCCACTGCAGACCAAGCGCTCCAGGAAGCTCCTGCGCTCGCTCGGGAGCCGTCGGTGTCACCAGGACGGAGGCGGGATCGCTCTGGTCCCTCGGGCTCCCACCTCTGCGTGCAGACAGGCTTGCAGTGTCGCAGGGGTGTTGTCAGCAAAGGGCTAGGAACTGCTGGGAATTTCCTGTCCTGTCTGTCAGTCCGGACAGGGGTTGTGGTGTTTGATCCCGGTGGAACAAGACAACCTGGCTTCCTGGAGGGAGGAAGCTCGGTGCTGACCTGGGTGGATGGAGACTGACCCAACCTCTGCTGGTCCACACGCCACAAAGCATCTGTTTGGTGAGTAAAGGGAGCCAGCAGGACCCTGACCTGGGCCTTGCAGAGGGAAGTGGAATAGAATCATAGAATCATTAAGGTTGGAGAAGACCTCCAAGATCATCAAGTCCCACTGTGACACTCTCCAAGCAGCACGGCCTTCTCCAGGAGGGCTGGGCTGGTGGCTCTGGTGTGGCTGAAGCCCATTACAGGGCAGCGAGCGGTCGGTGCTGCTGGTGCGAGATGGGCTTAGAACCTGCTCCGGCGAAGGGCAAAGATCCTCCCTCAGCCTCTGCTCAGCTCACAGCAGGGAACTGCCAGGGATGGAGCCTGTCAAGCAGGGGAAGCCCTGCCCTCCCCTGTGAAGGGAAGAAAAGGAAACCAGCAGGCTCTGAAGAACCGAGCAGGACAGCGCAGGGGGCTGCCAGCAGCAGAGATCAGAGCAGCCCTTTTGGGAACACACAGGCAGCTGCCAGCCCGAGCGCTGCAGGTGCCCCGGCTGCAGGGGCTGGTCTGGCAGGGAAGGGGACCTCAGAATCACAGAATCACAGAATAGTAGG